TCCTCCTCCGCCTCCTCCTCCTCCTCCTCCTCCTCCTCCTACATCGGGGATCGCCATCGTCATCGCAGCCGCCGCCGTCGTCGTCGTTGTTTGTCTCGCGTCGTCGTCGTCGTCGTTGTCGTCATCGCGCGTCGTCGCCGCCGCCGTCGTCGTCGTCGTCGCTGGTAATTGTCGTCGCCGCCGTGGTCATCGCGCGTGGTCGTCCTCGCCGTTGTCGTCGTCGTCGCTGGGAGGCGAGGAGGACGACGAGGAGAAGGAGGAGGGAGCGGGGGGGAGGGGGAGAAGGGAGGAACGAGGCAGAAGGTAGGGGGAATGAGGGAGGAATAAGGAGAGAGGAGAGAGGAGGTAAGAAAGATGAGGAAGGAGGAGGAGCGAGCGAGCGACCTCGGCAGCAATTCGGCTCGGCGCATCGAGCACGGGCCTGGGAAGATTGGGCGCCGGTCAGCGTCCTGACTTGCTGCTGGTTCAGTCTTTGGGCGAGGCGGTAGGGCGCCTGAGGGAGCCCGTGGGGGCCTATGGAGCCTTGGGCCCCTCGTCGGCCCTAGGCCGCCCAAAAACTTCGAATTTTCGCAAACGAGAAGGCGAAACACGAGGCTCACCCCCCCCATAACCTGCAAACATACGAGTAGTTACATGTTTAGTGGGCGCTAGGGCACAAAGATACCAGCATTATCCGCATCACATGCTCACTGTGCTGCACGAGGTACAACGTGCATGCATTCGAGACAATTAAGCGTGAAACTACAATGAACTGTGCATCAATAGCTGCCCTCACGTGCCCCGAGAGAGCAGGAATCCTAGCCGTAATAATCCAGGATGGAGAGAGTTGAAGAAGTTCTTCAATTCTGAACGGATGCGGTCTGCATCTCCGCCAGTCACCGCAACCGCTGAAGGGAAAATACGCTTGACACCATAGAATAAAATGTCCACGCAAACTGAGTCAATATGTACAAGTCAGTAGCGAGCGCGATGTAGCTGGACGCGGGGAAAGCGCGTTATCGCAATCCCACGCGCATCAGAATATCTCCGATTCGCGCACTTCCCATTTC